AGAAAGGAAAACACCTGTCAGCTGCTTTAGACATGAATCTATTTAAAGCAGCAACCTTACCAGTCAACTTCTGAACCTCTTTCTTGTTCCTTGGTGATTCCATTTTTATTAGAGCCCGTATTTTGTCTGGGTTTGCCTCAATCCCCCTGTAAGTGATAATGAAACCTAAGAACTTTCCTGATGCCACCCCGAAAGCACACTTCGCTGGGTTCAACTTCATCTTATACCTTCGCATTGTTGAAAATACCTCCTCAAGATCGGTGATATGCTCCTTCACTTGCTTACTCTTGACCACCATGTCATCGACGTAGGCTTCGATGTTTTTCCTGATCATATCAGCAAAGACTTTGTTGATGAGCCTTTAATATGTTGCTCCCGCATTCTTCAAACTGAATGGCATGACCTTGTAGCAGTAGATGTCGGAGTCGGCTATGAATGACGTCTTCTCTTGATCTTCTTCAACCATAAGAATCTGGTGATATCCTGAGAAAACATCAAAAAAGCTATATAACTTATGACCCGAGGTACTGTCCACCAAATTGTCAATTCGAGATAGAGGATAACTGTTTTTTGGGCATGCTTTGTTGAGGTCTGTGAAATCAATGCACACCCTCCACTTTCCGTTAGCTTTCTTCACAAGAACAACATTAGCAAGCCAATCTGGGTACTGAACTTTTCTAATGAACTGGGCATTGATGAGCTTATAAATCTCTACGCGTATCACCTCCCGCCTTTCTGGTACAAATTGCCTCTTCCTTTGCTTTACGGGCCTAGCATCAGTCCTCACATTCAATCGATGGATAATGACGTCAGCATTTATCTCGGGCATGTCTTCTACCTCCACGCAATACATCAATGTTGCGGGATAGGCACTTGACCAGTTCTTCCTTTAAAATGGCATCAAGCTCCCGACCGACAGTTACCTTCTTATCATGCTCGAGCTTGACCTCTACCAAATCTTCGACAGGAGCAAGTCTATCGTGATGCTCGAGCTCGAGCTCACCGACGGATAATTGCATGACGTCAGCGCTCAATCCTGGATGCTCGTGATATAACACTTTCTTGCCGCCAACTGATCCCCTCGCACAACTCCTATGTCATGGCTTATCGGAAATTTCA